CCTTAGATCCATCGTGTCCATCTCAATTGGAAATAGGAAAACTATTCAACTGGATTGGAGAAGGCTCGTGAATCAGAGGATTGGAATAGGGGTCGAATGCGCATTTGAATGGTCATCAACATGCGTAACCCCAGGCCCAAACCATTTCTATAATATTCGAATGGGTCATTCAAAAGAAACACATTACGTTTGACACGCGTCCGTGGTTTAGAGGATGGCAATTGGATTCGTCTTGGCCCCCAATCGAAAATTAAATATCAATGGAGCAACAACCAGTTTGAGCACACTTCATGTGGATCTGAATTGGGACGCACACTGAATCCGATTGGGATGGAACGGGTCCCAGATTCAGAGGAGTAGATCCCCGTTGGATTTGAACAGGGAATTATATCGGAAGTCAGTCAGAAGTGAGGGAGCCTCAGATATATTCCAGTTTGAATTGAATATGAGTTCATATAGGCGCATGAAGGTTGGAGCATACCCAGCTTCACGAGACCTCGACCAAGTTTGAAATTGAAGCCGTTGGGCTCTCAACGCGGAAATTTCCAACCATCAATCGGGAGGACAGCCCTGCGAATAGGAAGCTGTAAGATCGCAAGAAAACATACGTGATACAGAACCATTGTCCCCCTCCACCCCCTGGGCGGTCGCGGAGGGGTGCTGCGCTGGCCCGTTCGCGTCTAGATTGTCACGTTGACTCGGGCGAGGGAGCGCTGGACTTCCCCCCGCCGGCGCCTCGCCTTGTTTTGCGAGCCCCATGACCACCGCATTTTAGCTCAGAGGAGGAAAAGGTACCCATACCTCTACCCTTCGCCCTTTTTGCCTTTTTGGGCCTCCCGGGAGGCCCTCGTCGCCACCGCTGGATTCGCCTCGAGGTTCTGGTCAGAACGCACCACAGGAGAGGTCCGGGGAGTAGCGGTATCGGTACATTTTGGCGTCCCCATGAGCAGGCATAGCATTCGGGAATCCCAGAGGGGGATCCGCCATGCGAGACACCGTCGTGCCCAGACCCACCCGTTGTGAGACCCAGGTGTTTTCGGCCAGCGGGAGCCACTCTCCCATTTCACCCAGACTCAACCACGAGAAGCACATCGGGGGGTTCCCGCGTCGAGTACACCTGGCTTTCAGTGCGTTCGGAGGTTTGGCGGCACTCCTCAGATCCCGATGTTGCAATACCGTGAAGTGCCACGACTGGAGTCCTAGACCCTAAGTTGTCTGCCATGTTCCAGTCGGCTCTATCTGTGAGGGCACTCGATGGCGCCCGACAGACAGCGAAAACGCCCGCTGTGGACCAAATGCATCGCCGGGATCTCTGGGGAGGGCAAGAACAACAGGAACCTCGGCACGAACGACATGGGTACGGAAAGAATGGGCACAATGCCGAACAGCAGTTGCTGCTCATTTTGAACAGGACTCGCTGTCCGCGCCGTCGCGGCCTGTGCCCAGTTGATACAGAGGGCCACCTGCCCAGCAGCGGCCGCTGTTGATTTGGGACAGCATTTGTTGTTGAGCGTTGTGCCCATGTTTTCCGCACCTCTTTCGGGCGTCCAAATGAGCTGAAGTTCGGCATGTGCCTCTACAGGGGGAGTGCCCAAGAAAAGTCAATCGATAGTCTGGGGACGATGTTTGAGAAATGTTGGTTCGACTGTTGCGTTGCCTCTTGTTTGGCTGTGTCTACTCTGTCCTCGAACATCCGCCTGTAGGGGGACATGCCCGACCTGAACGTAGTTTTCCGTACCCATTTCGGGCGTCCAGAAGTTGTCGCGACCGCCCGCGCCGCACAGGCGCCCCCCCTGCGCGCGGAGCTGCTGGCGGGGCTCCTCGGCGCGGAGCTGCGGGCGCGCAGCCCGGCCGAGGCGCCCCCCTCGCGCCTCGCTTCCCGGCCCGCCCGTGCCCCATCGAGGGCCAGAGGGGCACCAGAACAAGGGCAGGTGTCAGAGGAGAGCGAGTTGACCTGGGCCTCCGCTGCGACGCTGGCCGCCGCTGCTCGGGCCCAACGGCCCCGCAGGGCAGAGCGAAGTGCCGAGAGCGGAGCTGCTGCGAGACCACCGGCGGCCGCCGGATGGAAGGGTGCCAAGGTAGGACCTGCGGCAATCTGGGCCTCCTAGATGGGGTCGGAGTGGATGGAGGTCGGAGGATCGAGCCGCATCGCCGATGCATCGCCGATGCGGCTCGATGCGGAGCCCGGGTTTCTTCACGCGGACGTCGCCGATGCATCGCCGACGTCGTTGATGCATCGCCGACGTCGTTGATGCATCGCCGATGCATCGCCGATGTATCGCCGATGTATCGCCGATGTCTCGCCGATGTCTCGCCGGCGATCCTTTCGACCCCATCTACTCCGACCCGACCCCATCTAGGAGGCCTCTGGTTGAGACGACGGTAGATGGCCTCCAGGGGGGGGGGGGCCTCGTCGCCCCGGCTCGGCGCAGCTCGGGAAACCAATGCCTCTGTACCCCGGGAGGGGCCCCCGGGACCGATCTGGACTCGCCGTGGTCTCGACTCGCCCTGCTCCGATGCAGGGTTCGCCGACGGGAACCTTGTGGAAACCATGCGAAGTTGCCACGTGGGGCGTCTCTCTGGCATTTCGGCACGGCCCGCACGGAGGAGGGTTGGGCCCGCCAGGTCGCTGGCCAAGTTACTCGTCAGTGAAATTATGGAGGCGGGAAAGGGGGCTGTGGTGTACAGGGGGGGTGGTGCCTCCGCTGAATCTGGCGATGTGGCGATGTTAGCCATCGTCGATAGCATCGCCATTTCCCCGAGTGGCACCGCACGCCTTTATGTCAGGAGGGGGAAAAACTCAGACACAATGAATCATCGATCCCCAGGAAAATATGCGAAGCGTGGGGGAAGACGATAATCCAGAACATATTAAAACATAATGGGGGTCCTGGGAGTTGTGTGTGTTTATTTGATCCCTTCCCAGCCTCAGAAAAGAGTCTCTGTCGCAGGGGCGCTGAGAGCGAGTCTCCCGACGCGGCGGGGGAGCGGGGCCCGAGATGCTGTGGACGTCTGTGGACGTCTCGGGCAACATCGGGGCCGCGAATGGGGCTATCCCTCGCCACGCTGGGTTCCCGTCGGAGATTCTGGCCAGAGCGTACGTCTTGACATGCCTGGGGTCCCAGGATCGAGTGTGGTGGTCTCGTTTCGGATACGCCTGGTCGCTTCTAGAGTTTCCAGTCGCCGCGGAGGGACGCAGATCGAGCAGCTGGCTGGAATGGGCCCCGGGAGGGGTTGAGGATCCGCTCCTCGAGTTGGGAGTTCGGTTCCGGGCCAGGTTCGAGGATCGAGGTCTTCGGAGGTCTCCGGGCATCTCACGTCAGTCTGAAGCGCATCCGCAGCCCCAGGATTGGCATCGCCTTATCTCCGTCCCAGTTTCTGAAGGCGCTTTAGGTTTGTATTGTTTGATTTTTGTTTTACAAGCTCGAGGCTGGTTGCTCTTCGGTTTTTTTTGAGATGGACACGGCTGGGTTCGCCTCGAGTTCTTGGTCACGTGGCCCCGCCTGATGAGGTTCTGGGAGCGATCGTCCGCCCCTGGACGTCGAGCGCCGAGGTTCTCGGGGTCGAGGTCTCCGTCTCGGGGTCGAGGTCTCCGTTGTCGAAGGAGCTCGGGCGTTTCGCTGTATTTCTTGTCGCTTTGTTCCTCTGCCCCACTCGCGCGGCCGCCGCCCCTGTCGGGGCGATCGCGAGCTATGTACGGAAGAAGGCGTCGACAGCGGGAGTCTTCTCAGGCTTGAGAACCGCTCAGGGTTACGTTGGGCACGTCTCCCTACGTGAGGAAAGTTCAAGAATAGTCAAAACAAAAAGTCAGGGGACGATTTGTTCGATTATTTGTTGACCATCTTCCCTATTTCTACGCATTCGTCCAAGATCCGCCTGTAGGAGGCAAGGGGCCCCGGACGTGGTTCGCCGTTCTCGGGCCCTAGGAGCTCTTTATCCACCGGCACCGAGGCCGTCGACAAAAGCAATTCTCGAAGAAGAAGGGAAAAATGTGCCTTAACATAAACTTTTGGCACTCCGCGCGGATTTCTTGGATCCGCGCTGGGTCCCCCCAGCGGCGACTCCGGCGCCGCCCCTGGCGCGCTCCGCGCGCCGTCCTGGCGGCGCCTCCGCGCGGAGCACCAAAAGTTTATGTTTGGCGTTTTTGCCGCAGGTGAGGGGCTGGTCTTTGGGAGCGCTCCCCTGGCGACCAAGGTTGATTGTCAAAGTTGATTGTCGGAAGCCAGGGCCCACCCGCTGTCAGTGGGGAAATGTTTGCCCTGTGCGGGTGCCGGCGGCAAGCTCTCTGCTCGGGCTGCCGCCCTCCCTTCGGTCGTCCAAGCTCGTTCGCTCAGGACGGACGAGGTAGGACGAAAGGAGGGGATATGCGGACAAGATTTGCGCCCATGCCCACTGCAGCTTGGAGTGTTGGGCGCTCTTCCCCAGAAGCCCGAGGCGCACTTGGTATGAACAAGATTCCGCTCTCTAGAGGGTTGATTTTTTATCCAAGCCCAGTGCACCTCGGACTTGTGGCGCAAGACGCACTGGATATGGACGTAAACCTTGCCCGCAGGATAAGGACAGGGGGAGTTGCGTACGAAACCTGCTGCAGCATGCAGCTGGCTTCGGCCTCGCCGCCGGGCTCCTTCCTCACTACATCGGCGCCTCCGGCGTTGGGAGGCGCCAGGGAAATCAGCCACATCCGCTGATTCGCCAACTCCGCCGTTACAGCCCCTCTCCTTTCGTCCACCCCGGCAAGTCGATGCACCTCCAGGCCTTCTTTTCTTTCGACGGGGCAGGGCAGGCCGATACCGAAGCCCCTCGCTTGCGCCTCTCTTAGGGCCCGCCCGTGGGGGCCCCCCCCTCGCCACTGCCTGGTTCGCTCCGGAGTCTGGGCCAGAACACGCTTGGGGCGAGGTCCGGGGCTATCCGGGGCCTCGGAGAAGGGCGGTGAGGATTGTATGTGTGGACCTTTTCTGAAATTGGAGCCATATACATTGCCAGCGGCGGGCTGTTTTTTAATTCTGAAGCGTCGGGGTGGTGTGGTGTATGTTTCTCCCCCGTTCTCCCGGGGAAACAATGAAGAATGTAGACACCGGGATCCCGTATACACCAGGATCCGCTTTCCTGTTCGAATGGCAGTGTGGGGCCAGACAAATCGTCGGTGGATAGAGCTCGGTTCCCTCATTGAGGGTTTGGTTATGATATCCTCTGGAGCTCAGGTCCATGTCTCTCTACCTTCCCTCTTCTGTCTGTCCCTCATGTCAAAGAGTGCATCCTTGTCATTATTGGTGCTTCTGCGCATCTCCTGCCCACCCCCAGGTCGGCGCACGTGGCTCGCACGATGGTTCGCTGGCACCCCTCTTCCTGACCCCGTCGTCGGCGCGCCAGGGAAGTGTTGTCGGTATCGGTATCGGAGGTTGGGGGGAAATTCGAAGTGAGACGGAGACCCCCCACCAGGAATTCGGCTTCGGTTTTGTGTTCGTGTCGTGAGTGCGGGTGAGGCGAAGGTGCGTGGGCGGGCGAGAGGAATGAACGAACCCGCCGTGGCTAGAGCGAAACTGCGCTGAATGACGCTACGCATCCAGGTTGGCTGGCGGTGGTTCGGGGGTGTCCCGCCTGTGCCCCGTGGTGTCCCGTGGCGCGGTGTCCCGTGGTATCCCGTGGTGTCCCGTGAGGTCGATAATTAGTGAGATCGATCGACATATCGAAACTACGATCGATAGTGACGTCGATTGACAGATCGATTGATTGTGAGATCAGGAGATAGGGATATCGATAACCCCACAACCCTGCGACTAAACCCTGGGGATAATAAAGTTCGGGGTCTGGGTGGGATACTAAACGTTTTTCCCGGCGGAGGATGATGGTGATGATGTTGATGTTGATGTTGATGTTGATGATGATGATGATGATGATGATGAGGATGATGATGATGATGATGTTGATGATGATGATGATGATGATGATGATGATGATGGTGATGGTGAGGATGATGATGATGAGGATGATGAGGATGACGAGGATGATGATCCTAGGCGCTCGTGTAACTAGACCCTGGCACAAAACTGTCCTTGGTGTCATCGAGTCTCTCATCTAAAGGTGGCCGCACCTGGCCATGATCAGCGTTTTTGATGATGTTGCTAGTCAACATAAGAAGACGCCAATTTCGATTCGCAACTTCCCCCAGCGATAATCCCCTCTCCATATTCAATATGTCTGACCCGGGGATAATAACCACTCAGGGGTTAAGGGGGGAGTACTCTTTCTTATCCAGGGAACGGGGTTAGTAAGATCGATCGGTAGATCGAGACAGATCTCGATAAGGATTGCTGGTCAACAAGTTTCTCCGTGTTGGACCTCTGGTTGCGCCGCCTGCGTCTTACTAAAGACTTAGGTGGATAAGATAATCGGCCGCGCTAGCACACGGTCTGAAGATCATCGACTTTTTCCGCGCGGGTGATCGCAGAATGATGCCGACCACCAAAAAAATGTGGTTGGTGCTGCCAGATTGCCAGCTCAGCGCTGTGCGCAAAAGACCGTCAGACGTGACAGTTCATTTCCCGACGGCCCAGATACATCGAGGTCTCGATGCTTCCCAGGATCCAGCCAGAAGTCACTCCAGGAATCAGTTTCTAGGTTTCTGGAAGTTTGCTAGGGGCCGTCGGGTAGTCATGGATGCTTGTTACGGCCATCTGTGGGGGCCGGACGTGGGCTGTGGTGGCGTGGCTTGTCTGGAAGCCGATGCCGCCGCCAATGCTGCTGTGGTCCTTGGGCGTGCGGTGCCCAGTGCGGGTTGTTGAGGATTATCGTCATTGCGGGGCGGATCTCCGTGGTGCTCGGATGAAAGGCACAACTGATCAACCTCTCTTCCTTCCGCCTCAAGCCACCGCCCCCACGTCGTCCTCTCGGTACCCCTCTTCCTGCTCCGTTTCCTCTTCCTCCTCCTATTGCTCTTCCTCCTCGACCCTCTCCTTCTCCTCTACGTCGGCCTCCCCCCCTGTCTCCCTCTCCGTTCTCCCTCCCTGTCCTCCTCCCCGGCTTCCTCCTCCTCGGCCTTCTCCTCCTCCTCGGCTTCCTCCTCCTCCTCTTCATCTTCTCCACTTTCGCTCCTCCTCCTCCTCCTCATCGCCCTCGGCCTTCTCGGCCTCCTCGGCCTCCTCCTCCTCTTCCTCTTCCTCCTCATCCTCTCCACATTCGTTTCTCGCCCTCGGCCTTCTCGGCCTCCTCCTCCTCTTCCTCCTCCTCCTCCTCTTCCTCCTCCTCATCCTCCTCATCCTCCTCATCCTCTGCACAAATTCATTCCTCCTCCTCCTCTTCCTCGCCCTCGGCCCGCGTTGCCTCCTCGGCCCAGGGTCCTCGACCTCCTCCTCGGGGCATCTTTGGCCCCAGCCCCCGCGCGCTCCGAGGCGCCGGTGAGGCGGCTCGTGACCTTGTTCGAGGACGTGCTCGCGCTGCTCCAGGCGCGGCGCGCCCCGCGGGCCCGTCCTCCCAGAGGGCTCCTCCTCCCTCCTCCTTCTC